GGCTTCGATGGCCGTTCTATTATGTCACCAAGGTCGCAAACGACTACTTCATCTTGTCATCACTCACCAAGAGAATCTGATCTTTTGAATTTGTTTCGGTATACACTGGACAATACGACGTTCAAAAATGAATCTTCCAGTTAACTAGCAATAAATGTGCTGAAACTTACTTGTCTGCTGTTACCTTATCTGACAATTAAACCTGGGTATACTTCTACCAGCAGTCGTAATATGAATTTCGATCGCAAACTTCCGAATAAGGCGAACCGGAACTTGGTCCGAAAAGCCGATGAGTGAGAGCGGAATACGTGTGCGGCAGAAATCATTGATTGATTGATTGATTGGTGTTTCTAGGCACGTCATCTGCTAACCTGTCTGGACGAGCCCCAGACAGGTCTCCCGACATGAGTCATGGTGTAGTGCAAGTAGGCGTTTTGGAGGGTGAGGATAGGACAGGAAGAGGAAGGAAATATCGCACGCGATCCCTGGGTCTTTCGTTAGGGTACTGCTCCGGCATTTGCCTGGTAATGACAAATGAAACCCTGAAAACTACTGATTCAAGCAGCCGGTTGCTTCTTTTCCAGATTGCGGCTGAATTCGATCTAGCTAGCTAGAGTTGGAAAATTCTATTACCGTGGAGTCTAGAATCTAGGACTTCCCAGTCGGTGGCACTGCAGTGACATCAGCTGATGCATAGAGACACCTTAGAAGGTCATTATAGGTGGATGATTGATGAAACAGTGAATGATTGAAGATTAAAGATTAAATGGCGAATGATGGAAGAAAAAGGTGATTGATGGAAGACAAAAAGAGAATGATGGGAAAAGGTGAACTATGAAAGGCAAAAGGCGAACGATGAAAAACAAAATGCGAACAATGAAAGACAAAAGGAGAACGATGAAAGACAAAAGGAGAACGATGAATGACAAAAGGTGAACAATGTAAGGCAAAAGATGAACAATGTAAGGCAAAATATGAACAATGTAAGGCAAAAGATGAACAATGTAAGGCAAAAGGTGAACGATGAAAGGCAAAAGGTGAACGATGTAAGACAAAAGGTGAACGATCAAAGGCAAAAGGTGAACGATCAAAGGCAAAAGGTGAATGATGGAAAGTGAAAGGTGAATAATAGAAAATAAAAGGTAAACGTACGAAGACAGAAGAATGAAAAGAAGAAAAAAAAGGGAGAAATACGTCGTTCGGGCCCACCGTGCGCGGGGCGCTGCCGGAGCGTCGGTGCGTTGGTGCGTTGGTGCGTTGGTGCGTTGGCGTGTTGGCGTGTTGGCGCGGGGCCTTTTCACCTGCGGCGTGGCGTCGCGCTGGCTGCCTTTGCCGCTACCGCTCCTGGCGGCGGGCCGCGAGATCGATGGGGATTAAACGCCCCCGCCGACGCGACGTGTTGTTCCACGCGGCCGCGTAATCAGTGTCACGGGCGCCCCGCCCCGCCCCCGCTGCCCGCCCGCCCCGCCCCGCTCCGCCCCGCCCGATACTCGCTCGCCAGGTCGCTCTTGTCCGCATTTACCCAACGGATGGCCATTGTTGGCGATTTCTAGTTGTTGGCTCTGTTGCGCACGTGGTGCCTTTGTTTTCTCCGAGTATGGAGGTCGGGATGTTGATTTGGGTTCTGTTGCTTTCTGGCTATTAGCCGGGTTTTCTGTTTCGCTGAGACGAAATAGCTACCTTCCGCATTCGCCAGGTTGCTGCTCTATGCGTTTACCCAATGGAAGGGTTGTGTTGGCATTTTCTTGTCATTGGTTTTGTTGTGTAGGTGGTGTTTTGTTTTATACGAGAGTATAACTTGGTTTCAATTCTGTTGCTTTCCTGATATTGGCTGTATTGCCTCTGTTGCTCAAGTGATTTCAATTTCGTTTGATCGCCAAGTTGCTGATGTCGACCGAATAAATGACAATTGATGACGTTCTCTCTTGTGACGTTTTTTCTAGTTCAGTTACGGTGCCCTGGTTTTTGAATGCGTAGTAACCTTATGTTTGATAGTAAACACTTTCTATTAAGTGAAGTGTCTTTTTTTAATTGCAAGGTTTCTTTTGAAGTAGATGGCAACTATGAAAATAGGATGTACCGTACGTATCAATTATATTACAAGGAATATAAAACTATTGTTGATTATACACTGTTTTCTGATAATTATAAAAATAATATTTATGAATTTTGCTTTCTTATAACTCTGGTTGTTCCGCCGTGCCGCAACTAATCTTTTATAAATTTGCACTACTTCAGCATCTCTATACTTATTTTCTAGTAACTAGGGTTTAGAGTCAGGCCATGGTTTCAATTTATCCATCACGTGAGGTTGGTTGATATTTTCTTTCGCGATATTTTGTTCTTCGTGGACACTGCCGACTGTATCCGATACATCAACCGATCTTTTGTGCCACTTTGTCGTTGCCTCGGTTTGCATCACTTCCTCCGCCGCCATTATCACTACCACCTCATCAGCATTAACTTTACCTTCTTGACTACCATCACCGCAACCATCTCTCATAACCACCTGACTACCACATTACCGTAACCATGGTGACGTGACAGATATTTACAATTCAGATATTTCAACAGTACCTGTCTCCGTTGTGCCCTGCCTCTAAAACCTTCTCGTGCACATATATTCGCATTTGCTTAACTGCTGCAAATACGTTACTGCAACAACCTGTTCAGTTTTTGCGAGTAAAAACATCCCTTGGGCAGTGACCAAATCGATTAAATGGACATCAAATAAACAATGTAATAAATTGTAGTATGACGCTCATCTTAAATTAAAAAAGATGGAACATTTCCTTAAACCACAGAAAATGTCTGACCATTTGAATAATATCGAAAAGGAGAATAAAAGGCAACCCTACTTAACTACTATGATCCATCCAACAATTTAAAAATGTATATTTCTTATTTCTAAAACATTGATATTTCCATTGTTCTTTCTTTTTCTTTCTTTCCGGTGTATTACAGTACCATTAATATCAATCTTCCATCGTCTATCGTTCAAACATCTGTAACAATTTTTTTTCAAATTATCTTAGTTATAAATATATAATGAAAACGTCGGTTCGTAAGTGTCCAATTTGCCTTTTAATTTGAGACGCGCATAAAATCGATGTTTTTTATCGCACAGACAGATTTATTCCCAGAAGTGACTGACGATGTGGTTCCGTGAAAGGAATGGTTGGAAACATGACACAAACTTTTTGTTAAAAATGAAGTCTTGATAATTTATATCCAAGACACAATTTTCAAAATAAATTGCTGAAGACAAATTTCTATTGAAAACGTATGTTACAAATTGCAAAAGAACACAATTAATCATGTTCTGCACAGTTATTATTATTATTATTATTATTATTATTATTATTATTATTATTATTATTATTATTATTAATTATAATATTTATTAATAATTATTATTAATAATAATAATTATTATATAATTATGTTATTATTATTTTTATTATTATTATATTATGATTATTATTAGTGGTAACATCATTATTCTTCGGTAGTCAATCAAACATCCTAACCTAATGTTCTCGTACGCTGTCTCAAAATGTTGAAGATACAAACATGGTTCAAACTTTGTATAAAATTGCATCGAGACGAACATTATGCGCCCACTGCGATTTGGTTGTCTTAGTATAAACGTTATTTTTCTCGACTCTGAAGCTTTGTCGAAATTGCTCATCAAAAGTAGCATTTTCAGTACAGAATAGTAAGGTCGTTGCTTGTTCCTTACGCTGCTGAGAAGTTTACCGTAAGTTAGAGCTATCCAAGATCATTATCGCCATCGATAGAACGCACGACAGGACCCAATACGTCTTTCGCCGTAGAAGTCAAATGCCTACTCACGCGAGCATTCCTCCAGGGCAATTAGAAAACTGCTTTCTCAGTGCCCTAGCAGTACTTAACGTGACGAGGAAGTCCTGAGTATTTATTCTATGGAATATCATGTTTTTGCAGATGAACGTTGGTTGTCATACCTGGCCCACTGACGTAATAGCACAAAAAATAACACAGAATAATGTTGAAATGCTTGGTCAATGTTTCTTTCGATTCGAGTTATACAAAATACTTAGAGTGACAAGTTTCTATTTTTTTCTTTAGAAATACTCGATTGTATGAAACGAGTGTCGTAACTCAACAACTCTACTTTCCCATTAGCAATGAGAGCAATCGATCCTTTCTTCATTGTTCAATAATGTTTCGTAATTTTCTGAAATGTGTGCACGTGCCCTATATATTTGCGTGCGTGTTTGTGTGTGTGTGTGTTTTTGAACGAGTGTGTATGTGTTTGTACGTGTGTGTTTGAATGTGTGTATATGTATGTTTGTACGTGTGTGTTTGAATGTGCATGTTTGTATGTATGTATGTGTGTGTGATGTCGCGCGCGTGCATATGCTGTTGTAGATTAGGTTACGCAAAATCTTGGTCATAAGTGCCAGTTTCCATAAAGTTATCAGACTTGATTCAACTGAAATAGTTTCAATATACATAAATGAGAAAATATGTACGAGCATGGCTATGTGTATTTGTGTTTATGAGTATGAGTATTTGTGTGAATTGTTATTTGTGTATGAGTACGTCCGTCTCGTATGTATATATTTATGGACTGTTGCAAAGCGAACGCAGTACGCACGTACGTTTGCCAACGTGTAATGAATTGACTAATGTGCTCGTATAAACAATTTCATTAGAAGGTAATAATACTAAAGGTCTCTGTTGTTCGGGAGGTGGAGTCAAGATACAATATTTTCATGTGTGAGTATGGAAGTAAGAGTAAGCATAGGTATGGATGTTGGCGTGTATGCATATTGCATTACGTGTAGATGCATGTGCATATGTGTTAATTACATATTAAAATGAGTAAGATCTGATATAGTACACACGCAAATAATATTGATAAAATGTTTCCAGCCAACAGTAGCTCCAGCAGCAAACAATGGCAGTCTCTCAAAAACAAAAACAAACAAACAAATTCTGAACTCTGATCCTACCTTGCGCGCAGCAGCAACTAGGACCCAAGGGCAACAGGATGAGCAGAACGGCCAGAAGGCGTAGAGTCGAACTGGGGACCTCTGACACGTCACCGGCAGTCCGTTTGCTGTCGGGCGGAAGGAGCGGTTCGCAAGTTCGCAACCCGCGGGCAGCAGGCTCGGTTTCCGCCGGGGCTTGCGCGTCCCCCAACCCTCCACAATCCACCTTCACACTCGCGATCACTTCCACTCGCTGCATCGCTTTCATGTTTTTACCAGTTCAATACCTAAAAGTGTATTTTACAAAAGCGACACACACCTTGCATGGAACAACCAAGTCACGGGGGGCAACCGGAAATAAAACGTTTAGATTACTGCCGGTTGATTCCGTCACGGAACTCCGAACGTAAACATCACGTTTTTCAAAGTGAGAGTGCTACACTGCGCCTCGTAGTCCATAGTGTTCCCCGCTGAATACGAAAAGGGCGTGGTCACGATAACACGGTAGGTGGCTTTACACGTCACAATTCAATTCGTCCGGCACCGGCGTGCCGTGAAACCAGACGCTCGTTATCCCGTATTTCCCCTCTCCAATCCCCACACTGAGAGACGCACCACAATCACTTAGCACATTCACTGCGAGGGAGCACTCGAAGCAACACCAAACGCCGAGGGGTGCGAGCGAGGTTAGCAACAGTCGATGAAGACGTACAGAGGGCACGGAACGGGTCGCAGGCTGATAGATGAGCGTTGTTGACGTGTCGGAAAGTTCAGGTAGCCCAGATGGCTCAGCGTTGACAAATGGATGCTGACACGCCTGAATGGGCTGTGCCCACTTTTGGTGAGGTGAACGTTATCACTCCGAAGGTCGCGGGAGGCAGCAGACGATCTCGCATTGCACTTGCGAGTGAAATCGGCGAAGACGAGAGATGTACTTAACACGGCTGCAACTCGAGCTCTCTAGCATCCAGCAGAAGTTATAAAATGGACTTTGGACAGTCACAAATATGTTCGAAGTGGTTGCTTCCGCACTTCCGAGCGAACGAAGTAAATCAGCACTATCTGCTGTTGGTTACTTCGGCTTATAACAGTTTCCACTTTCGATTATTCGTGCTGTGCCAAAAACGTTCTTCCAGTTTCATATCTATCCACACTGTCAATGTAGCTACTCCTGTTCTGAATCGTAGCTCATAAGTCACACAGTGGTCTAGTATGGCCTGTGATCCGTAAGAGCGCTGTAAATACGTCAAGGAAAACAGTGCCGTGCTGGTTACCTTTTGTCCCGCCAAATTGATTAACACGACGGCGAGAATCGGTGAACATAAAAACCTCCTCACCGGTTTTCCGCGTCAAAAAACCACCCCCAAATCGCGAAACCGTACCGCCCCGCCAAAACACTCTCGCGGCCGACGAGGACGACTCAGGGTGCGCAAGCCACCCTCCCGGCCGTCAAGGACAACGCAGGGCGCCCTCTCTGGCCGTGGGGTCGTCCTGCGAGCGCCAAGGCCGAACGCAGTCGAGGCAGGCTGCGCGATCGGCGCGCCGCGGTCGGCCGAGCCGAAAACGAGGGATCCGCGCAGGGCCGCTGCCGCCGCGCGGACTGCGCTGCCCGCGGTGGCCCAGCCGCGCGCCGCTTCCGCCCGGCGGACAGCACGCCGCGGGCAGAAGGAGAGGCCGAGGGGGCGGCTGGCATTGCGCGGCGCACCGCCCGCCGCCGCCGCCGCCGCCGCCGCCGCCGCGCGCCGGCGCCGAGCGCCGCCGCACGGCCGCGGCCACCGCGCGGCCGCCCCGACGCCCCCCCTCCGCGCCCCCCGACCTTCTTGACGGATCCACGCCGCCCCCCCCCTGCTTGCGGTAGCCGCCCGTCACCCACCGCCGCTCGCCTGGCTGCTGCGGGGGAGTGGCGGCGAAACCGCCGCCGCCGCCGAAAGGACGATGAGAGGAGCGGAGGCAGGCGTTGTGGGTTTATTAATTGTGGTGGAAGAAGGATCGTGTAGGCTGGTTTTCAGTGGGTTGCGTCATACCTCGCAGCTCGCGGATGCTTCCCATGTTAAACGCTGTCCACGCAAGGATATTGACCGAAACGATACGAAATAAAACTCCATCAACGGTTTTTCGTTGCGTTGTGAAACGCAACGAAATACCGAATAACTGTTTCGTTTCAGTTTGGAAAAGCAAATAAATGAAAGGAGACATATTTTTCGTTTCGTGATGCAAATAAATAGAAAATAACATTTATGTTTCAAACCGAAACGAACCGGAAAGAATTTTCCTTCCGAAAGGGAACGAAACGGAATCGTTTCAGAAAGATTTGGCTTTGCCTCCTTGTTTTCCGGAGCATTACAAAATATTTATGCAATTGCGATTATTAAATAATGTCTTCGAGAATCAGGATAAGCACTGTCACCATTATTTTTAAACTTTCAGAGAGTTCATTTATTTATGTGAAATATTCTTCCTTGTTTCCGATTTTCAACGTGTAATCTTTCGTTTCCTTTTATTACTCAGTGTTGTTTTCTTCTTTATCGATCCATTAGCACATCTCTTGTACTCCACACTTCACAAACGTCATTATTTTATCATCTGTTTGTTCATTCTGTTTATTGTTTATCGCTTATATCAGCCATTTTGGTACATGCGTGCCTTTGCCTTGCAATTTGACCTTCTACTAAGTGACACTGAGTAGAAGAGTTTCACAATGTATTCCAGATACGTCAACGTTATGCAGCAAGGGAAAAGGTGCTGCTATCTGCATGATTTTAGCTATTCCTTGGTGTAAACCTTCAAGTCGTAGGACAGTGATTTCAAGGGAGGTGCCGCCTGGAGACTTCCCACAGCAATCTCGCTGCTGACACCTTCCTGCAAGCGACACAATGAAGCTAGCTGTTAAAGTACACGTTAAGTGAGGTTGGAGAAGTAAATAAAATTCATTTGTTATATTTATTTACATTTAAATACTAATTGTAATTGAAAATAATTTAATTTTTAAATAATTAAGAATGAGAGAGATTTACTTAATCATTAAATAATTAAATTACACTAGCTGATACCCTGCGATTACATCACCCAAAATGAAGAGCTGTAGAAACATTGCAACTGAAAAATACAGAATAGGCATGAAACAGAAAATCGAAAAACCCTAATATGAATGGATGAAAACCAGAAAGGTATATGTGACATTTCATAAATGCTAAGAAAAACGTGAAATTAAACTATATTTCTTGGCGATGATGGCGCAAAGCACCACAACTTTACAGTGATATTGAATTAAATAGTTTCTCAGAATTTATCAAATGTCACTTATTAATATGAAATATTTTATATTTACTAAAATGTATACATTTAGTTCGATATCCATCTTATCTGCGGCGGCGATGGTGTAACGGTTAGCGTACTGGACTGTTGTACCCAAGTTGGCGGGTTCAAACCCGATCGTACGCCTTCCTTCGGAGGGGAACCAGCCGGCTGTCCCATGTTAGTAGATTTACTTGCATGTAAAAGATCCTCAGGCCTAAATGACGCCTCTGAGCTACATTCAAGTCGCCTGTTTCTCGCCCAAGAAATACCTCCTTTCTCTCCTAGTTGGTGAAAGGAGCGTAGCGAAATTTGTGTGGTCAGACGGAAGAGCGGGCCTGATGGCCCGAGTCTCGCCACGTAAAATAAGGCAAATTCAATTCAATATCTCAAAAACCTCATGCACTACACAAAATTACTGTCAATGAAAATGTTTCCAAAAAATATACATACGTCAGACAATTATGTATTCGAATTTAGTGTATTTACTGCAAAACAAGATATGAGCAACGACCGATTTGAACTTTTAATTTACACTTTTAATTAAAAACATTTAAGAAATTTGGTTGAGAAGAAAGCTCAAATTTAATCCACACAAAAAAAACTTCAGTGTCTAAACATAATAATAACAATAATGATAATATTAATAATGTGTACTTTTTTGAATAAATTACGCTTTACAAACATTGAACTGACATCTTTGATAATTCATAACCTTTTTTTCTAAGAAGAAAGCTTTATGATTTCCCTTTGGGAAGCAGGTGACCAAAGACAAAAGTATTTTGTCCTTCAGAATATCTCGTGTACTTACAAAATTATAATAATACCTTAAAAACAAGACAGGGGCCATTGGGCTGAGGACAGCAAAGAGAAACATTGGGCCAGAATGAAAGAGATGCGGAAGCAAAAAGAAGAAGAAAGAGGCAGAAAGTTGAAATAAACGTAGCCCATACTGGCTTATCCCAAGAAAATCTTAAAAACCAATTTCGACCCTTGGCGCACAGATCTTGTTCTCCGACACCATCACCAGCTACTGTGCGAATCCCGCCCCAGGCCAGGAATGCTCGCCCCTTCTCTTCCCCGTGTTTTGGGCCGCAGATGACCTTGCGTTTTCGTGACCCCAAAACCCAGGGGCTCGCAAGTATGTTTGTAAGATGACGGCTGCGTCTTTGCTGGCCTATAGGTGATGCAATGAGGGGTGAAAAAGTTGGCCAGATTAATGCTTGTGAAAAGTTCGTTGCCGAATCTATCTTTTTTTGTTTCTTTTATTGTTGTTTTTGTTGTGTTTTTTTCACGTGCATCAAGCTCTCATGCTTGCTTCGCGGAAGCAAGTTGTAAATTACGAGGATGTTTTTAATGACCATTCATGCTCGTTAACTATACCGGTTCACATTTTTTCCGGCTACAACAATAGCATTGTTAATTCTCATGAATCTGCACTCGATGTTTTGTATACGGTATAAAGGTTTCCATTTATTTACTTTAATAATAATCAAGATGATGAGAGTAAAGAAGATAATATAATCTATAACAATTTCCTTCATCCCCGAGAGTGTCTAGTAACGTTTGAAAAATTGTAACAAGATAAATTTGAGGATTTTTTTTGCATATTGTGTCGTATGGAGAAGGTTATGCTACCAAAAAATACTTTCGAACATCCTTGTAAGCAATAAAAAAATTACAAACCATTAATCGCTATGTCTTTACATTAAAGAGAAATCTGACAATGTAATTCAGTAGTTCTGGCATAGCGCAATTCGGTTTCGCAGTTTGAGTGAGGTTAGATAGTCATGGCAACTAAATTTTCAAAACACCAAATGTAATTTCTTAGGAAGTTATCGTATGGGGACCCTTTGGATGTTGTGAGGCGGCTCTTTCTGATTAACTCTGGTAACGAAAAAGTGGACAAGTTTGTAAACATTGTAAATTTCTTCCTCTATCTCGTTGTGAAGTCAGAATCCATGTTTTGTGTGTCTTTGATACCTAAAAATGGATTGACGACAAAACGACCGTCTGTGTGTGGCCAACGCTAGCAACTAAACCTTTCAGAAGATTTTCTCCAAAATTGATATTCCTCCAACGGTTTAAATGAACTATAGGCCCTCTGAGTTTAAAACGGAAATTTAGATTTTTTAAAGGTACTTTAAAGAAGCCACAATAATATTTCAAAATTAAATAGTTAAAACAAATTGCGTCAATTTTTTTAATGAAACTTTATAATCGGATAGTGTCATTAAAGGATAGGTCATTAAAAAGAATGAAGCAGGTCTCATTTTCATTCTCAAAACCCTATTTTTTAGATCATGGCAAATGTCCAATTTATTATCGGTGTCTTCCTACAACAAGAATATTGAAGGTAGATATTACTTTTTTAATAAAATCAATTTTCAAAAGAAAGATTTTAAAATATGTTCATGTATAATTTTTTGAAAATACGAGTATTTTTCGCGTACTTTTGTGTGAAATACAGGCATTTTTTAAACAATTAATTTCTCAAAAACGATTTTAACTTTTCTCTTTATTTTTTTACTCGTATGTCTCAAACGATGGAAAAAAATAGGGCGATAGTTATATTACAGGCGAACACTATATTTTCGAATACTGCAAAAAGTTAACATTACAAAATTACGTATTGAAGACTGAGATTCTTTGTGTTATAAAAAAACATTTTCTCAAAACTCGCTCCAATTTTCTTTATACATTTTCTCACGAATATGTAATAGGTTGCTTAAATGATTGGCGAAGGTTCCATTTCCGTTGAACTGTGAATTTTCGAAAATTACAAAAGTAAGAAATAATGCGAGAAAGTGTGCGCTGTTTAGCAACACTAGTTTACTTACTTATCCCGTCAAATCTTACCACAAGTACATTTTATTTTACATCCGATACTTAGCTCTCCTCATGGATTATTGAAACTGAAAAAATGTTTGAAAATTTCAAAAGTTTAAAAAAATGTCCACTTTCTTTTCCAACTACATCATTGAAATTGGAGATAATTGAAATCTGTTCTTCAAAATTAGACATTTAAATCATGTCATAAA